TACCACAGGGACTCAGCACAAAATGACCAAGGCAAGTGAAGACACTGAGAGGAAAGGAAGAATAGAGGGCAACTATGGTAATTACCATAACATAGACCAAAACCAAACTCACCACTGTCAAGTCAAATCTGACTCATAATGACCCCTCCTTGGGTTTCTGAGGCAGTATCTCTACAGAAGCAGATTCCCAGTCTTCCTTCCAAGAAGTCGCTGGTGGGTTTGAACCACCAGCCTTCTGGTGAGCAGTCAAATGCCTTACGCACTACGCCACCAGAGCTCCCAATCCTGCAATAATAGTATTAACAAACAACAATACACAAATGGACATGTAGGGAGACAAGTATGCTAATGAGTTATGGGAGGGTGTAAAGGAGTACACCTGCCTACAGATATAGGTTTGGTTTTCTACATACATAATTGTAAGTATTATGTGTATATTAATATAGATAATAGAGTACTCAAGGGTCACAGTCATGGAAACTTCTTAGCTATAACCAAATACCTTGTGGGTAAAGTCCCTAGGCTTGAAAGAGAAGAATCACAGACTCAGAAGACACCCACATCAATTAGCACAACATAGTCTGTAAACATAATGTTTTGCATTTTACTTTGGTGAGCAGTATCTGGGGTTTAAAAGCTTGTGAACAGACATCTAAGATACAGCTATTTTCTCCTCCCATCTGAACAAAAGAGTGAAAAAAACAAAGACTCAAGGGATTAATTAATCCAGAGGACTAATGGACCACATGAACCACAGCCTACACAATCCTAAAACCAAAAAACTGGATTGTGCCCAGCTACCACTACTGAACACTGACTGGGATCATAACAGACAGTACCAGACGGAGTGGGAGAAAAATATAGAACAAAAAACTGAAAGTCACAAAAAGACCAGAGTTACGTATCTGGACTGGAGTAACCTCAGAGACTGTGGCCCAAAGATACCTTTCGGATCTGGAACTGAAACCATTCCCAGACCAACTTTCAGCCAACAATAGACAGGGCCATAAAATAAACAGTAACATTGAAGAGGAATGTGTTCCTTAGAACAATATGAAATCAAAAGACAACGTTTGCCAAAAAAATCAAAGGTCAAAAGGCAGGAAGAGGTAGAAAATTGGGAAGAAAGGAAATGGGGGATCCAAGGCAGAAATTGGGAGCGTGTTGACACATTGTGGAGAATGCAATAATGTCATGGAACACTTTATACACAAATGACAGAATAGGAAACTAATTTGCTCTGAAAACTTTTACCTAAAGCACAATAAAAAATTCAAAAACAAGTAAACTAAACAAACAAACAAAAAATTAGAACATTTCTCCAGCATCTCTTTAATTAAATCCCCAAAATACGATTTTAAAAGCCTGAAGATATCTCAGTGAACTTGCTTAAAGGAGAAGTAGAGAAAGATAAGTAGTTTTCTTCAGAAGCCTATAAAATGTATTACAACAAATTTAAGTAGGATTGTATACTGACTTATTTTCAACCCATATATAGATCAAGAGGGAGTCATTCAAACAGAACAAGGGGATATAGTGTGGTTTGAAATCAGGTAAGGTGTGTGTCAGGGTTGTGTTCTTTCATCATACTTATTCAATCTGTATGCTGAGCAAATAATCTGAGAAGCTGGACTATATGAAGCAGAATGCAGCATCAGGATTGGAGGAAGACTCACTAATATCATGAAAGATGCAGATGACATAACTTTGCTTGCTGGAAGTGAAGAGGACTTCACTGATGAAGATCAAGGACTACAGCCTTCAGTATGAATTACAAGTCAATATAAGGAAAACAAAAAATCTGTGCAACTGGGCCAATAAGAAACATCATGATAAAGACCAAAGATATTGAAGTTGTCAAGGATTTAATTTTATTTGGATCTATAGTCAGTGCTCATGGAAGCAGCAGTCAAGAAATCACACAATGTATTGCATTGGGCCAATCTGCTTTAGCAGACCTCTTTAAATGATTAAAAAAGTACAGGTGTCACCATGAGGACTTGGGTATTTTCAGTTGCCTCGAATGCATGCAAAAGTTTGACAATGAATAAGGAAGACTGAAGAAGAATTGATGTAATTTAATTATGATGCTGGTGAAGAACATTGACTATACCATGTAATGCCAGAAGAATAAACAAATCTATCTTGGAAGAAACACAACCAGGATACTCCCTAGAAGCAAGGACAGGGTGACTTCCACTTCACAGACTTTGGACATGTTATCAGAAGGGAGCAGTCTCTGGAGAAGGACATCATGCATGGTCAAGTACAAGGTCAGTGAAAAACAGGAAGATCCTCAACAAGACGGACTGCCATAGTGGCTGCAACAAGGGGCTCAAACATAGCAATGACTGTGAGGATGGTGCCGATAGGCAGTGTTTCATTCTGCTGTACACAGGGTCTCTAGGACTCAGAACTGCTTTGATGGCACCCTCATAACAACAATTTTCAGAAGACATTTGTTTGGGGTGCAAAGTATACGAGGAAATTCATGAAGGAATAAAAGGGATAAGAATCTAACATGACTGTCTCTATCTGGCTTGAATAAAACAAAATATTCTGTGAGGTTTGGGGCCAGTTCCATCCTGATGATGACAACTAGCTTCATATCTCAGGGGAAGGTACAATGGATGTCATAAACTTTGTGAAAGAGCAACAAAAATCTTTATTATTCAGGAGGAAACACAAATATATCTAGCACCATAACTCTGGTCATGGTGGAGTAGGGAATAAGGAATAGAAGAGCCCCAAGTAGGTGTGTTGCACTTCTCAAGATAACCTCCAAGCTCTTAGAATCTTCCTTTGCCTAACTTCTCCATGCGTGTCATGGGTGTGTTTCACATGTTTGTTTTAAAACATTGTAAAATCCTTCCCTCTTATTTAATATTGTTTTAGTACAATTTAGACTCTTTTTTGCTTTTCTGTGAGTAAATGCATTGTTTCTCTTAAAGTTTTCCATAGATAGGGAGAGGGTCTCTCACAAGCAATCTTAGGAATTTCTCCAGTTTCCTACTCCCTCATACTGAGGAGAGGTCCCTGGGTGGCGCAAACAGATTGCACTTGGCTACTACAGGTTAATGGTTTGAACTCACCCAGCAGGACCACAAAAGAAAGGCCTGGAGATCTGCTTCCGTACGGTACAGCCAAGAAAACTGTATGGAGAAGAGTTCTATTCTGTAACACATGGGGTGGCCATGAGTCAGAATACATTTGACAGCACTACCCTCCCCCATGTGGACAAGCTTCGTTTTGGAGCCACTTTGCATTAAAACCAAAAACCAAACCCATTGCCATCAAGTTGATTCTGACACAAAGTGACCGTATAGGACACGGTAGACCTGCCCCATATGACTTCCAACCTTTATGGAAGTAGACTGCCTCGTCTTTCTCCAGCAAAATGGCTGGTGGGTTTGACCCAACAATCTTTTGATTAGCAGCCAGATACCTTAACCATTACACCACCAGAGGTCCTTCACTTAGCATTACGAAGTGTTCATTCCAGTGCTGTTCTCTACTTTAAGCAGGAAAAGGAGAACAGACTAGATACTATGATGTGAACATGAAGCAGATCCTACCAGCAGCAAATAGATATGGGAGGCGTTACATCTTTGCAAGATGTATAGATGTTGTTATCTGAAAATTGATCCCGTGTGTTTGCCACCAGATCAAAGAGAGTAATCTGACTCAAGTAATCTGACTCGAACATGTGGGACCTGCCACAGGTTCGACCCAGCAGTGAAACACAACGATGGAGCTGTCATCCATGGGAAAAGCACATCAGTTATTTGATTTAATATTCACCTAAAGGAACACTGCCACATTTTAGGAATGCAAGACTCAGGGAAAGGCACACACACTAAGTTATCCCAAAGCATTGCCTGTCTAATCGCAGATGTGGTGATTCTCCAGCATTGTGGCATTTAATATTCATCTCTCTAAAAGGAATTGCATGTTGAGACCTTTCAACCATTAAAAACCACTGTGGCACACAATCCACCACATTCCTTGCTCTGAACAAAACAGCATGCACAAAATCATCAACTTCTACAGCATATCCCACTTAACTATATGCAGCATCAACTTCAGGGAGTTTGTGACTTGGGGTTAAACGTAAATAGACTTCAATGTCCTGGAGAAGGGAGATGCCCAGCAGCAAAAATTGCTGGAGTAAAATGTTCCATGTTCAACCAGGTGGAAATTATGTGTTTCACTATTAAATTATAATGCACATATCACAGATATATGGGGTGTGTTTTTAACAGCTAAAACGTCAGCCTTTGAAAAAGCAAAAACCTCTGAAAAATGCAATGTGTGTCATTTATCATGTGAAGCTCTAGAGAAGGGTAAGTATTAAAAAAGAACAGATCTAATGCCATACATGAGACCTAATATTAATATTTCTATTCTAATTCATTCAAGGAGTTGCAGTTACCCATTCACCATTACTATGCCTTGATCCTTGTTTTTTCTTCAGAACTATCTTAGGGGAGAGAGCACCATCCGTGAAGTGGGCTTCTGAGAGTTGATAGCTTCAGCTCCACGAAGACACATCGTTTTATTTTCCTTGCCAAACTTGAAGCACAACCAGAAGACTTGAGAATCAGACCACATTGGCATATCTAGTAAAAGCAAGCAGTGGGCTGAAAACCACAACTGGAGAATGGTGACAGCTTCTAAGTCCATAATCATGCCTTAAAAAGTATGTCCACATCCTAGGAAGGGCAGCGCTTACATCTTCAATAACACAGAGACATTTGAATCGTGCTCAACCCAACCCCAACAAGGCAGAGCAATAATGTGGCTGGGGGACAGGGAGTTGGGTAGGATGGAGGAGGTTATTGGGATGGTGGGGCACGTGGACATTCGGCTCTCACGGAACACAGTAGCAAACACAGAGCACAGTCATAGACATCAGCGAGCACAATTGAGCACACACACAACACAACACTAGAATGCATTTTTTTTTAAAAAAAAATATGATATAAAAGATGGTTTCTCACCCCTCAAAACAAAACTGGAACTTTGGTTTACAGGCCCGGCTATGCCCATATGCCCTCCTCGTCATCCTGCGGCCGGCCCGAGGTGGGGAGGTGCACAGAGAGGAGGGGAGCACCGGAATGAAAGAAGAGAAGGTTAGTTACACCGTGATGCACACTGGAAAGGCACACTGATCTTGACTTTGTTTATAAATCTTAAAGAGCAAGTACCAAAAAAAAAAAAAAAAATCCATAGTAAATTAAGTTCCACATCACTGACTTGTCAAATACATAACTAAGTTCTGTATCTATGGCAACCCTCATACAAAAACATTCCACCCACCTGGCTCTGCCTGTATGTCAAGATTGGATTAGAAGATTTAAATTAGTCTACTTAACAGATGATTATTTTTTTGGAAAGCATGCAATCTGAATTGCATAAGCCTTAGGAGTAGATTAAACCTTTTAAATCAGCAGAGAAGTAATTATAGTAATCAAATACTTTTAATTTCTCTTACAGTTAAAATATCAATAAAGGCTGAAGAATAATTAACAAAATAATCTCCATCTACTTAGGTGGAACCAACTTTTTTAGCATGCAATAATTCACATTGGCTGTTTTGCAAAGGCACAAACATGCTGAGACTTCTAGATTCGTCATATTCTATTTTGTTCTTGGAATAAAAGAAGAGGAGCACACCACACAATGAGAATACAGTTGCAATCAAATACTTTTCAAAGCAAAAGGAGCAAGCTTTCAATTCAGTAGAAGGCTCGTAGAAAAGTTTTGTGTAGCTTAAAATTGTGTTCAACTGTGAATAAATACAAACTTTTTTGGTTTGAATTTTTGTTATTGAAAATGTTTCCCAAAGTCTCTGGCTACTTTCCTCACTTAGTGGACTGGCCAGCGCCATAGGGAAAGTGCTTTTTTCTCGCAAGTTCCCTGTTCGAACAACAATTCTCACTGTTTGCTACAAGGAATGAAACACAGAATAGAAGACTGAGTGACCCATATCCTAGTCTCCTACATAGTTCAGGGGCTCTACCTTTTAAAATACCCCCAATGAAACCACATTTGTCACGACTTCTCTGTTTTGAAAACCAGGAGCAGGATAAACAAAATCAACTTGGAAAATTTTCTCAAGAGTTGGATCTTTATTGCTTGAGTCATTATAATATCAGGTTGAACTGTAAGAAAATGCCAATATTTGACCTTTTTTACCCAGAAAAACAGCAATTTCATGGGGTTCAACAAAATACTACCAATAGGTGAAGGCAATTTTCATCTGCTCAAGGAACTAGTTCTAAAGTATTTCAATATACACCCACTCCTCACTTATTGGCATGTTAGGTTCCAAAGACCAGGTCATTATTATGGCATTATGTGAAAATGGAGGATTTCCTTTTCTGTTTTTAAACCATCTCTTTGTCTGATTTCATTATTATTATTATTTAGAAAATAGGATCATAGAAATAATAACAGCTGAGATGTAATCATCACTGCAATAAGTCCTCTGTAGAGGAGGAGGTATGGAGGAGACAAACCTGTATAAAGCTGGGCTGTAGGACTAGAGTGCCCATGGCTTAACCACTTCACCTTCCTCCTGTGCTGGGTCAGAGCTTCACTTGAGAGCCACTCCAGGGCTCCGTTCCCACCCCTGCAAGTTCTGCCTTCATGATCCTGGGGCCTGCTCTGTCCTCCAGGCCTGGTAAGTCACCAGGGCTTCCTGTGAGGAGCCTGGCCGGGCATCTGGCCACACCAAGGTAGAGGCTTCTCGCCCAGTTCAGTTCACTTTGGGATGTCATTAAACTCACATGCATTTCTTCCAAACACCCTCTCTGATGCCTCTTTGTTTCCTAACACCCAATATCAATTTTGAGCTTAAGGGACTCAGGCTGCATAAGGACTGGGAACCCAGAATAGGTACCTTTTGCTTTATTACGTCCCTGACCCCTCAACTCACTGTTACAGGGAAACCCAGGCACAGAGAGATGCTATGATATGCCAAAATCACCCACAAAAAAAGGAGGCTTTCCCTAAAATGTAGCCTACAGTTCCTGCTGACCGCTTCCTATGTGGCTGCAATGTAACTCTCCTTGAAGCTGTAGTTAAAACCCAACAGCACTTATGCACTCAGTCTTGTCTCAGATCCATCCACATAGGGTTTTAAAGTTTTTAAAAAGGAGAGGAAAGAAAGTAATATGAAAGAAAAGCCACTGCCTCCAAAATATACCATTATGATCTCAATAGTGAAATGTGGTCTAATGCTAATCACTTTTAGAAAATGAAATATATTAGAAAGTGGTAATTAATTATGATTGAAAAAGACAGGAGTTACAGCTTGCAAATACACACTGCCAATATCACTATTGTGCCTCATCCACCATAGGAATAAAAAGGAGCTCCCAGATGTCGAGGGTTATTAAAAACCAGATGTTGAGATCGATGTCTTGTATGCTGGTGAATAAAGTAAAGAAATATGACAGTCCAATATAAACTTTGCAAACATTTAGTACAGCAGAAATGTGGATAAATTCCTTTAGAGAACTTAGAATATTATGCATTTTTTAAGTTTTGAGGTCCTTTAAAAGGAAAGAGAAAGGGAAGTGGTGCCATTTCTGGTTTCTCTAATCTTCAAAGCTCTGACTTGAATTGATCCCAATAACCAAGCGATCTGGGGCAGAGTGAGTTTCCATTTGGAAAATAGGGTAAAACAATGCAGGAGCTAATCAGAGAAGGACCTCCAAGTTCTACCAAACGTTCACAGCTGTTTGCCTCCTGTACCGCCTTCATCACTGTATGCAAATACTAATTTGTTCAGCAAACTTAAATTTGGGGACTAAAAAGAAAAAAGAAACAGATAAACACCACTTGATCTCTAACTTTTATTTTCATACCAATTTATTTAGAAATACTTGGGAGTTTTAATGAGCATTAATCACCTGGGAGAGTGTTTATCATTCTTGCTTTTCAGTTTCCAAATCTACTTTGCAGTGGCTTCCCTGGAAGCTGCCTGGTTGTCTGCTGCCTTGTGGGACCTTCTTAAGGGCCAGGAGTTGCCAAAATAGCCCAAGATGGGAGGAAAGCCTCTAACCCATCCGTCATCTGTGTGTTTTTTGGTTCACAGCATCTGAGGATAAGAATATCCAAGGGCAGACTGAAGCCCAGAGCAAAGTGAGCATAACCAAACCCAAAACCAAACTCACTGATGTCAAGTTGGTCCTGACTCATAGTGATCCCCTCCTTGGGCTTCCGAGGCGGTATCTCTATGGGAGCAGATCTTCCTTCCGAGGAGTGGCTGCTGGTGGGTTTGAACCGTCAGCCCTCTGCTTAGCAGTCAAGTGCCTTAGGCACTATGTCACCAGAGCTCCCAAAGTGTCCATAAACGTAGCAAATTTTACAGGGTTGGAGGCTTAACTATCAAATAACTTCAGGATGTATCCACAGATCTAGGGATGATGTGCTAGACAAGATGGAAATCCTGTAGTTACAGAAGCTGGGCTCTAATGGGATTTTCTAAATACTAAGTAAAACAAATTCCTCACCAGATGGGCCTTTCACGGTGTCTATATTGATGACAAGATCTAAAGGAAAAGGGACTGAGTCATCGTTGACAACACAAGAGACTTGCTGCTGTGGGGGGCATTTATTAGGCCCAGCTAAGAAGCTCTGGGAAGGAACTCTATAATCTGACATGATAAATGCCCTGGTGTAAACCTTTAATTGGTCTCTATTTTGAAGTATTAGGTACTGTCAGTAGGCAAGCCCCAGCCCATCACTGGATATTTTTTAAACCAGTAGCAATTCTCTTTGAGTTGATAGCTGGTTTTTTTTCTTGCAGCAATCAGAGGATAAGGATACTAGTGGAGACCTCCTGTCACATCTGTCCTGGCTGGAAAAGGGAATGAAATTAGGAAGCACCATCTTCAAATTAGCCCATTGTCTTTGTGGGTGCTTAGCTTGCCTCGTCTGATAGGAAATTCTCATTGTGGGAAGGGATGCCAGATGACTGTCCTGGTTATATTAGGGTCTGGTGTAGATACTTAACTGATGCCATCACTGCCTTAACTTCAGTTCATGGCTTCTCTGAAATTTTTGAAAACCTCAAGCCTCAGGACTCTGCAAATTTTGGCTATTAAAAGTCATGAAAGCAGCTCCTCTCTTGAAATTTCCAGTCACAAGTTTGGACAGAATTGGAAAAGACCAACACGGGTGTAAAGAAAAACAATAGGTGTGAGCCTGGAAAAATGGGGCACTGAGCCTTGTCAGGGTACCACTAAGTTTTATCTCAGGTAGAAGTCCACATTTTGCTTCTAGAAATTTCTCATCCATGCCTTCGATCTCTCTCACCTCCTAAAATGCTCAGCTCACAGATAGGTATCTTCCTCAGATGACAAGGGCGTGTATGGCTGGAAACTCTTCTATGATTTGTATTTGTTACAGCCCAAAGGGCCCATTTACAAAGTTTCCCTAAAGAACTATGGAAGTCTTACCCAGGTTCCGATACCTACTCCCTGCTCTGTTTAATATAAATGATAGCTTATTTCTGACCTGGGCCAGGAAAAAGTCAATGCATATTAGCACATATTCTAGGTTAGAGAGAATGTTGCCAATTTTCCATTTTTCTTTACTGAGTCTCACCATGGCCCATGATACAGGTGGCTGTGTGTGTGGATATGGGAAGGCAAGCTTAGGGAGGGAGCCCAGGTAGCTCCCCAAAGCACACCTGGTCAGTAGCTATAGAGCCAGAGTCAAATTCCAGTGTGTGTGACTACAAAGGTACACCTTTACAACTCTACTACATAAAGCATGAAGCCGCAGAAAGTAGAATTTGTTTGTTCTACTTAGTTCAGATCTGACATACTTCAGACTTTACATTGCCTTCTTTCAAAGCTACTGAAGATGTTGGTTTGAGTTGGCTAGTACAACTTAAGTTGACTCTTTCTGATTCTTTAAGAACAAATGGTAACTGCCCCTTGTTGTTGTTGTTGTTGTTGTATGCTGTCGAGTCAGCCCCGACTCATAGTGACCCCTCCTTGGGTTTCCGAGGCAGTATCACTACGGAAGTAGGATTGCCCAACCTTCCTTC